AGTGCCTAATCAGGTCTGGCAGACTCGATCTGCTTGGCAAAGCAAGCAGATCTCGAAGCGGTAGCGTTCAGTGGTACCGGCCGCCGCCTGGCGCGGGCGGCCTATGGTTTAGGGTTTAGGGTTTAGGGGTTCCTTTTGGGGTGCCTCTGAGCGTTGCTAAAGCGGTTTTGGGGTGTAGTAAAGGTCCGATGAGGATGTTATCAAGGTTCTCTGAGGGTTCTACAAAAGGGTTTGAGATTTTGGTTTGGAGTTTTGGGGTTTAGAGTTTGTGTCGAGTGTCTGGGGTTGAGGGTTTGGGGCTTAGGGTTTGTGGTTCAGAAGAATCCGCTCAAAGGACGGGGCTTCGGGTTTTTGGCACAGCTGCAGTTTCTCTCCCGTATAATTCTCCCTAGACCCTAAACCGATTCATCCGGAGCTAAGGGATCAGGCGGTATTCATATACACCTATATGTATAAATCTTAAGCCGCTGGATATCCGACCACAGGAATTGAACGCCCAAGTTCAGTTCAGGCTTGCGGCCCAGAGCCGCTCCAGTGGACCCCCCCCCCCCCAGCGCAATCGTTTACACCCGGAACCGGGAACCCAAGATCCTCGTTTAGGGTTTAAGGACCCGCAGCCCCAAAACACAAACCCGAACCCGAAGCCCCAAACCCGAAACCCAAAGTCCTAAAGCCTTACTTCCCCAGTGTCTTTGGGTTTAGGGTTTGGGGTTTAGGGTTTAGGGTTTAGGGTTTGGGGTTTAGGGTTTGGGGTTTAGGGTTTAGGGTTTAGGGTTTAGGGCTGGCTGCGGCTGGCAGCAGTCCAGGAAGCCCAGGGGAACCTCGCGATGGAGGAAGCTGTGGAAAGGCGTTGCATGGCCTCGGCTTTAGGCTTTAGGGTTTGGGGATTGGGGTTTAGGGTTTAGGGTTTAGGGATTGGCTTTGAGCATCTGGGGAGGGCTCATCAAGGGACAGTGCCCCAACAATCAAGCCCAGAATCCAGCAGCTCTGAAACCTGAACTGAAACAGCACAGGTAGTAGTAGAAACCCCGAAATTCCTAAACCGCACATCCCCGACCAGTCGCATGTGATAGTTGTAAGCATTGGCATAGGTCCCCGACCTGACACCCAAATCTCTTCACTCTTAAAAGAAACCCAGAAGCTTTTAGGCTTGTCAAGCTAGTAAGAGCGACCGGGCCAGGCCACAGTGCGTCAGGAAGAAGGCCCCGGCATCGCCTGGCTTCAAGCAGCAACATCAGTAGAAGCGGTGGTAGTGGCAGTGGTAGTGGTATTCGGGTGGTAGTAGTCGTCGTCGTAGTGGTAGCGGGTGGTAGCGGTCGTGGTCGCGGAGGCGGCTGAGGAATGTGATCCTCCTTCGCCCTGCTCTAAGAATCACTCCTTTGATTCGTCTGACATTGAGCATCGTGCAAACCTACGAAGACGTGGCGCGGAGCCTGGTCGTGGTAGTGATAGTGGTAGTGGAAGCTTTAGCCGTAGTGGTAGTGGAGTGGGAGTTGGAGTGGTAGTGGTAGTGGCAGGAGTAGGAGTAGGAGCACTTGTAGGAGTACTTATAGGAGTAGGAGTAGGAGCAGCAGTAGGGTTAGGAGTAGGAGTAGTGAAAGGAGTAGGAGCAGGAGTAGGAAAACTGAAACAACGGATACAAGAACAACCATAACCGCCATAACCACTTTCTGCAGCAACAGAGACAGCAAGAGGTCGAGGACATGTTAGACAGCATCCCTGTGCTTCTATTGAGTTATAAGGAACAAGCATTACATCGTCGTTGATGCTCCGGTGTTGCGGAGGGTTTGGGTAGGAACGAGAGCCCACTTGCGTCGTGCCTTTGCTTGCACCCACGACAGTACGAATGAAGCCCCTCTGGTCGGGTCGGTCGACGCTGTTTGCATTAGCAGCCAACACTGCGTCAATTGTCTGCTGATTTGTTGGAAAGGCAGGCTTGATGAGAGAAGGCTGTCACCAGAAGTAACCGGAGATCCCAAACTATCCAATACCCGGTACCCCTCAAGCAGTAAACCCAGAGCCTGAAATCCAACACTTCAATTCTGATCTCGGCTTATTCACGCGGCACATACACATTCCGGTTCTGCTACCGGATTTCATGCTGCGCTGCGGGGCTACAGAGGGTTTTTCTTTGAACTTCATGACAATAACCGACACCGAGCCACGATTGGTTGTTGTTTTCGTGGCGGCGGTGCTGGTGGTGCTATGGGCGGTCTTCTTGTCAGTACATGGGCAGTTCTCTCCCAATTAGGATCCCTTTTGAGGTTCCCAAAGTAGTACGGCACCCCTATGAAAGGGACCCTACAAGGGCCTACTTTAGAGAACTACCCACATGTCCTCGTTGCAAAGCAGCATTGGGCCTGCAGGCCGCGATCGCAAGTGTGACATGACCTTAGAAACGAAAGCTGCGTTTAGGGTTTAGGGTTCAGGGTTTCTGCAACACTCTAGCAGAGTGCAAGAGCAAGAGTCAGGAAAGCATCATTAGAAAGTGGAACTCCCGTATTCCTAACTAATCAAGTCATGTAGAACCAATCAATCGCCTGTCTACATGACCAGAAGCTCTGTGTCTGCTGCCTCCTCGACACGTCGGAACAAGTTCAAAAGCCGCTCAGGGATTTCAAGCCTTCAGTCCACAGCCAGCTGATTTCAGCTGCTCGAAAGCCCGAAGCAGAAAGGGCTCTCGTGGTGTTAGGTCGCCAGGACACTGCCTCGGCACCTCGCTGGTGCACCAGGCAGAAGAGAACGGCGGCTATCGCCTGAAGGCACAAAGCCCAGAAGAGAAGTTTGGTTTTGGGGTTTAGGGCTTAGGGGTTTAGGGGTTTAGTGATTTAGGGGTTTAGGGTTTAGGGTGCCCGGACTCTTCCTTGCAGTTCCTGCTTTGGGGTACTTGCTTCTGCATGAACTTGGCAGACCAGCTCGGCTTGAGGCTTGCAGCACTTGCTTCCTAACCCAAGCGAAACCGGAAAGCCTCCAGCCGCATCAACTTCGCAGAACAGCTGGGCTCTTGTTAAGGGATTTTTAAGTTACCATTATAAAGAAATCATAGAGTACCCTAAACCCTAAACCCTAAACCCCTAAACCCCTAAACCCTAAACCCTAAATATTTACTATGATGGTGTCATTTTCGGCTTCTCCTGGGCCCAGCCTGGGGCAGGAAGACAGCGCCAAGCAGGGGCCAGCTGATGCCAGCTGCCTAGCACAGTTCAGGGTTTAGGGTTTAGAGTTTAGGGTTTTGGGATTGAGTAGTCTATGAGTTTAGCTTGCCTAAACTCTACTACTCTTGGCTTCAGAGCTTGGGGCTACATGTCTTTTCTTGGCACGATGTTACTAGATATAAGCTTTGGCCCGGCACAGGTACGGAAGACAAAAAATTGGGAGCAGCCCCTCCCGGCCTTGCCACTCCGGCGCAAGCAAGCATCGTTGCACCGCTGAAGCCCGGCTCCTAGCCAGATATTCCCGAAAAACCCAAACCCCTGGACCCTAAGCCCCTAAA